GCGCTCGCCAGACAGACAGAGAGAGACATAGAGACAGAAAGCGAGAAATCACCCCCCGGGGGGATGGTCACGCCGCAATCCCTTCTCCTCCATTCTCCTCTCGGGATCTTGGGCACACACGCACACGCGCTCGGCGTGAGTTGTAAGTCACCGGGTCCGGGACACGAACCGCGGTCGACTACGTGGGAGTCCAACGACATAGCCATTACGCTAACTGCTGGTTCCCTCCCCTCTTTTATTTTTTAAGAGAGATTTTTTGCTATAGGGCATGTGCGCTCTCTAGAGAGAGAGACAGGAATCAAGAAATCACTCCCCAGGGGAATGGCCATGCCACAATCCCTTCTCCTTCTCCTCCCTTCTCCTTCTCCTCCATTCTCCTTGTGAGATTTAGGGCACGCAGAAGCACCCAGTGTGTTTTAAGGCGCGAGTTCCAGGACCAACTTGCAGTGGACTAAACGGGAGTCCAGCCGCGTAACCATTTCGCCATCTGCTGGTCCTGATAATACTTGATTTCTGTCTCTAGTTCCTAAAGTTTCCCAAAACCCTTAGAATGTCTTCAGAGGATGAAAGGAGCATCAGTTTTATTCATAACAAGCTCCTTCTAGCCACCCCTGAGTTCATGTTAATGCGGTGATTGTTGGAAAGCCCCTAGGAAAGCTCAGATGGGGGCTGGGTTGCCAGGAGACATGATCTTGTGATTAGAGAGTTGGAACTTTTAGCCCCATCGCCCTCCCTAAGGCTGGAGCCTGAGCTAATCAGCAGTGACCATTGGTTTAATTAATCATGCTTATGTAACCCGGCATGACAGGTCCAGGAATGTAAAGTTCTAGACTGAAAATGATGTACACTGTAGCATCCTTGATCCGGCTGTCACATACTGCATGTGTACTTTGAAAAAACCCTACATTGTGCGCTCTTGAGATTTTTAATTGAATGTAAATAAGAAATCACAAAATAAAAATAAGTAAGTAAAAAATTATATTTTTGCTAAAAAAAAATTATGTCTATGTAATGCAACTCCTGTAAAATCCTGAACAACTGGCTCTGAGGAACTTCTGGGTTGATAAACAAGAATGCATCCACGTGTCAGAAGGGTGGAACCCTGCTCCATAGGGAAAAATGCTCTTGTTCTTAGGACCCTTCTGGATCTTTCCCCAAGCATATCTTTGTCAGGCTCTT